TGACTCACAGGTTGAGAACGGCTGCTGTAGATAGATGCTCAACTACAGCCCGGAACAAAGGTCCTGCCCTTATGCTTGTGAACAGATAGGCTTAGGAGCTCTCAAGACTCAGCGTGTGATGCCTGATGACCTGAGTATGAGCCAGGGCTTACATGATGGAAGAAGAGAACTGATTCCTTGAAGTTGTCTTCTGTATGTGTCTAGACATACGGGAATAAAAAGTGTAAAAAAAAAAAATAAATGGTGGTACATGCCTATAATTGCAACACTATGGAGAATGAGACAAGAGGATTTAGAGTTAAAGGTCAGTCTGGGCTGTATAGTGAGTTCAGGCCAGCCTGAGCTACGATAATAAAACCTTGGCCCAAATAAGCCACTACCAAAAATCATACAACTGAACAAAGGAAACCTAGCGATGCCACTTAGTGGCAGAATGCTGCTTTATCTATAAACTAAGCCTTAGACTCCATCCTATCACAGCAAGCAAAACAAAATAAATCAAACCAGAGATGCAGGGAAAAAGAAGAGGAAAGGTCTGGCAAGGGGTTCTCCATCATTCCTGCAGCCGTGATCCCCAGCACCCGGCATATAAATAACTACTCAAACCAATGAATGGGGCCCGCGTGGCTGCGTGCACACGGTTAATCAGTCAACAAACAAACACATAATGCTGAAAACCAACGAATGACTGAATGTTTGTACAGGCACGCCATACGCTACCAAGAAAGAGTTGGAAAAGAAGAGCCCCAGTGCAGTAGGCTTCTTCCACCGAGTGGAGGCACAAGAGAGCTCAGGATAGTGTCCCCTTGTTCCGCTCCTCCCCCCTAGCTTCCCGCCCGCCCCTCGAACCTTCAAGCGGCTGTAGACAGTGGAGACTGGGGTTACTCGGTGGTGTTGGTGGGAGCCCAGCAGGCCACAGAGACCACAGATGAACTCCTGGTCTTTCTCGCAGAAGAGGCTGAGAGGGTTTCGGTGGTGCACGCAGACCGTGGGCTCCGTGTCCCCAGGGAGCCTCAAAGCATCGATCACCCGGGCCAGGGAGACGTTCGGTGGGGAGCTACTGAAGTCTACTGACTGACGACACACGGGACAGCGCAGCTCTGAGTCCAGGTGTTGGGACAAGGAATCCAGGCAGTCCTTGCAGTAGGAGTGGCCGCACTGTAGCATCAGAGGCTCCCTGAAAACCTCCAGGCAAATGGGGCACTGCAGCTGGTCCTGAAGCTCCTGCACAGTCACCCGCCAAGCCATGCACGCAATTCAGCTGCAACACAGGTGGCAGTCGGTCGCTATCCTTCCATTCCCTCCCTCCCTCGTATTTGTCCCCAGCTCAAAGGCTGCTGGAAGCTTAGGGAGGAAAGGATGCCAGCCCTGGATTCTGATCTCAACCTACTATGACCCTGAGCCCCACTTTTCCTATCTGGGGGTAGGGGAAGGACTTAAATGGAAAAACAATTGTCACCACGGGTCCCAGCTTAACTGGGAGTCTAACGCAGAAGTTTTCCTAGCATACATGAGGTCCTGGGTTCAATACCCAGCAACACAGATGTCACATGGAGCTGTGAACTCCCTTCCCCCTCCACAGCACCCTAGCATCGAGGACTGAACCCAGGGTCCTGCTCATGCTAGGCAAGCACTCTACTGGTTAAGTAAAGCCTCAGCCTTCTTTTTGCCTGTTTTAAAAGCACCCCTCCCCGCTTGCTGTTTATGTTAAGCTATCCTAGAGCATGATCCTCAACATGTGGGTCGCGACCCTGTTGGGGTCGTGAGGACCGGAAAACACAGATGTTCACATTACAATTCCTAACACTAGTAAAATTACAGCTACGAAATAGCAACAAAAATAATTTTATGGCTAGGGTCTCCACACCATCAGGAATTGTATTAAAGGGTCATGTTAGGAAGGTTGAGAACCGCTCTCTAGAGGTCCCAGAGCCCCAGCCCCAGCCAGGGATTCTACTTCAAGGAGGACTCTCTCCTGAGACCCAGAAATCTATAATACACAACTGCTACACAGGCAACATTTTTGCTTTGTTTTGTTTTTGCTTTCTCTGTGTGTATCCCTGGCTGTCCTGGAATTCTGTAGACTTGGGTGGCCTTGAACTCACAGAAACCCAGCTGCCTCTGCCTCCCAAGTGCTGGGATTAAAGGCATGGGCCACCACTGACCTGCCACCCAGGCAATCTTAGATTTATTCCCTTTTTTCTTTTCTTTTGAGACAGGGCTCATCTAAATGGTGATGGCCTTGAACCCTGTATTTATCGATAGATAAATTCCTGATCCTCCTACCTCCACCTGAGATCATAGTACTGGGAATGCTGGGATTACGGGTATGCTCCACTTTACCAGTGTGTACACTGCTGGGTAGAGAACCGTGGGGTCTCACGCATGTTCGGCAAGTCAGTACCTATTCACCACTACATCTCCAATACCAAAAGCAAAGTCCATTGTCCCAGAGTAACACTGTCCTCAGAAAGTCTGAGACAGGGAGTCTTGGGTGCTCATCTTCCCACCTGCTCCTCTATGGAAACAGAAACAGTCTCCTGAGCAAGACAGTAACACAGTCCCCAGCCCCAATATTACCTGGTTTCTTGTGATCCACCAGGCCTTCCACTAGGCCCTCAAACCGACAGCTCTGTCTGGTTACTCAAGCCTTTCCTTCCTCCCAGAATGGGACAGCTGACACACAGAGCTGGGACACCCAGTTGCACACAGATTCTGCTCCCTGGTGTCTGGCCCTTCTCCCCTCCCCTTTCACAGGAACACCCCAAGGTCATCCAGAATCAGGTGGAAATCGGGTCACATACCACGAGACTGAGGTGGCAGCCTCTGCTGGGTCCCTTCTGATAACCATAACCTAGACAGGCAGATTGTGGCCTTGCCCAGATGGGGGAGGGTGGAGAAAGCACATTCCCCATACTTACCAACCCAAACAAGAACAGGAGTGCCCTATGACAAACAGCTTTCTGAACACCCCAACCCAGAACTCTACTTTCTGTTTTGTTTGTTTTGTTTCGAGACAGGGTTTCTCTGTGTAGCTTTGGCTGTCCCAAACTCACTTTGTAGACTAGGCTGGCCTCCAGCTCACATTTATCTGACTGCCTCTGCCTCCCTGAGCGCTGAGATTACAGGCACGTGCCACCGTGCCCAGCTTCCCCAATCCCAGAATATTTTTTTCTTTTGTTTTTATGAGACAGGGTTTCTCTGTGTAGCCTTGGCTGTCTTGGACTCACTTTGTAGACCAGGCTGACCTCAAACTCACAGAGATCCACCTGCTTCTACCTCTGCCTTCCTCCATGCTGGAATTACAGGCATGAGCCATCACACACAACCTAAAGAGTTTGTTTTGTTTTTTGTTTTTTTTGATACAGGGTTTCCCTGTGTAAGAGTCCAGGTTGTCCTGGAACTCGCTTTGTAGAGCAGGCTGGCCTTGAACTCACGGAGATCCAATTGTGTCTGCCTCCCAAGTGCTGGCATTAAAGGCATGCGCCACTATGCCTGCCTCCAACCCAGAATCTTAAAGGCAGTTTATTTAGATTTTTCTCCTGTTTTTAATATATACATATGTGTATATATCTGTACATATATGTATATATGTGTATATATAGTATATATATATATAGTATATATATATGTATATGTATGTATCTCACTGCTTATTTTAATTTTTTTCATTTGAGGTGTAACATGAACAGATCTTAACCACACAGTTTGACATATACTTTGTGTATGTCCACTCTCAAGGTCAAGTTGAAACTGGACAGGGTGGTGAACAGCTGTAACCCCAGAACCTGGGAGATGCCAACAGCAGTTCAAGGTCATTCTCAGCTGGGCCTCTTGAGACTATCTCAAAAGCAAAACAAAACAACAAATCTAGTTGTAGGGAATTTTCAGTGTCAGGCCCTTGCCTCCTGCCAGTCCAGGTTCCCAATCAAGACAGTCACTGTCCTGGCTTGTATCCTCCTAGGAGCTGTCTTTGTTTAAACGTTTATTGTGTGTGCTTGCAGGCACAGGCCACCTCCTGCATGGCAGCGCAGAGGATAACTTGTAGTATTCAGTTTTCCCCTTCTACCTGTGGGTCCTGACGGTCAGGCTTAGTGGCAGGCACCTTACCCACTTGGCAGTCTTGCCTGGCCTTGTTTGATTCTTGTCTTGTTGGGAGATAGAACCAGGGTCTTGTGCATGCTACTAAAGCAGTCTATCCCTGAATTGCACCCTTAGCCCAGGCTAGAGGGCCTGTTTGTGAATTTGATATGAACAGTACTGTTTGACATTGGACTTCTTTCTGTCAATGTTACTAAATTATGAACTTTAAAAATCTGAACTCTTGGAGCCAGCTGTGGTGGCATACACCTGATTCCCATCACTTGAGAGGAAGAGGCAGGTTGAGGCCAGGCTGCTATCTGGAGAGAGTTCCAGGAGAACCAGGGCTACATAATATAATAAGATCCTCTTTTCAAAAAAAAAAAAAAGGTGGTGGCGGCGGCGTGTGCATGTAACCCCAGCTCTTGGAAAGCAGGGGCAGGCAGATCTCAGTGAGTTTGAGGCCACCCTGTCTACAAAGTGAGTCCAGGACTGCCAAGGCTACACACAGAGAAACCTTGTCTCAAAACAAAACAAATAATAAAAAAAAAAAGAAAAATAAGCTATTGGAAATCTGACTATTCAACACTGAGGTAAAAAGCTGTCACGTTAAGTCATTAATTTTGTGTGATGTGTTCCTCCTGTGACAAAACACTAAACAGCAAAACAGAGACCAAAACAAAGGCTCGCAGCCTAGCTCTTCTGCGCCATTCCGAAGCAGGACCCCATCATGCTTTGTGTCTGCAGTCTCACGTGTGGCACGTGCTGAGAGACGCTCAGCGCATGCTCAGCGCATGGTCAGCGCATGCTCTCTGCTTCAATCACGTGCGTCTCTCGTGCTCGCCCCCACATACGTCCGCCCACGCCTGACTCGCTGGAGTAGTTTCCGGTGGGGCGTTTGGCGACGGTTGAGCCGCAAGATGAGCGTCTTCTCGCGCCCCAGGAACGGAATTCCACCGTCGCGAGACGACTGCCGGGTACAGAGCGGGGGTTCGGGAAGCCTGGGAGCTCGAGCTGGGGAGCACCCGGAGCGTGGCCATGGGTGGTAGCCGAGGTCCCGGAGCCCTGGAAGGGGACGACGTCCTGGGCCAGGTGAGGGTGGGAACGTGGCGCTGGCCTGAGGACATGGGCCAGGTGGCTTCCACCTCTGAGGCTTGCGGCTTTCTCTCTACCAGTCTCCCTATGAGCGATTAAGCCAACGGATGTTGGACATTTCCGGGGACCGAGGTGTGCTGAAGGACATCATCCGAGAGGGCGCCGGCGACCCCGTGACACCCGACGCTTCTGTCCTGGGTATGGTGGCCGCTGGGCTGCTCTTGGTCCTTGGGGAACTGTGGTTTAAGTTTTGTTTTGTTTCGTTTTGAAATACGGTCTCATGCAACTCCAGATACTCCATCTCCTTTTCAAGTGCTGGGGTTATGGCTGGGCACCACCGTGTTTGACGTGGTGCTGGGAACATAGCCCACGCCGTGTGCACCTTGTTGATTTAGGGTATTCTTTGTTCCAAGGTGCTGGGGATTGTGTCTTCAAGTAGGTGATTGCATATTTCCAAAATAGGGTGTTTTCTAGGACTGGACATGTTCTCCCTGAATGGAGAGGATTTGGTTTTGAGAAACAGGAGTCACTATATCCCAGGCTAGCCTCAAACCCTCCATAACCAAATATAACCCAAAAGTTCTGTTCCTCCTGCCTCTACCTCCCAATTGCTGAGATTACTCAATGTATGCCACCATGCCTGGTTTATGTGGTGTTGGAGATGAAACCCTGGGCCTCACACATGCTAATCAAACATTCTGCTAACTGGGCCGCATCTTTTGTTAGTTTGTTTTTGAGATGGGCTCACTGTGTAGCAATAGCCCTGGTTGGTCTGTTTCTCAGTATGTAGACCAGGTCAGACTACCCTCAAACTCAGAGATCTACCTGCCTCCACAGCACTGGGATTAAAGGATATCCATACTCTTTCTAAATCTAGTCAAACTGACAACCAAGATTAACTGTCAGAGTGGTCATGCATCCTGCAGTCTTAAGTAGTCAAGGAAGGCTTCCTGAAGGAGGTGGACTGCCAACCTGAGACCTGAATCACAAGGAAAACAGGCAAGAGAGATGAGAGGGGGAGAGAGAGAGAGAGAGAGAGAGAGAGAGAGAGACTAAAGTAGCACCTGCAAAGGAGCAGGAGACATGTGTGAGGTCATTCTAGTGCTGGGGAGATGGTGCAATGGGGAGAGCACTAGGTGCATAAGGGCCTGAATTTTAATCTCCAGCACCTGTGTAAAAAGCCAGGCATGACCATGTATGTGTGTGACACCAGCAGTGTGGGAAGAAAGGGACAGGAGGATTTCTGAGGCTTGCTGCCTGCCAGCCAACCTTCAGTTTCACTGAGAAACTGTCTCACCAAGCCCAGCCCCCCCCCCCCTTTTTTAAGACAGGGCTTCTCTGTATCCAAGGCCAGCTTCAAATTGCCACTCTTCCTGCCTCAGCTTCTGCAGAGCTGGAGTGACAGATGGCTATCACCCTGACCTGCCTCAGGTTTTTAAGAAGTAAAGCAGGCTTCTGACCACTTTTCTTTATGCCATGGTGAACAGTTAGCTAAGGCTCATCAGGAGAGCTCTTGAACCTCAAGAGTTGAAAGTCAGATATTCAGAACGCCACATGAAGCTTTTCTGTGGGCCTGGGTTCCAGGCAGCCTAAACTCTTTGGTTTTTTTTTCCTAGACAGAGTCTTGTGTCTGGTGCTAGTGTAGAATTTGCTGCATTGCTGAGGCTGCTCCAACCTCCACTTCCCAAGTGCTGGGATTACAGACTCCCACCATGCCCAACTACTTGTGGTGTTTCCCTGTGTTGTTGCTGTCTTCCAGAATGTTTTTCTCACACTTGTGCTTCCCCTCCCCCTCATTCTGCCCTAGTGAAATATTCTGGATACTTGGAGCACATGGACAAGCCTTTTGATTCTAACTGCTTCAGAAAAGCACCCCGGCTGATGAAACTTGGAGAAGGTAATGTCATCTGGACAAATGATGGCCATGTTTTAGGACTGTCACAGTGTCCAGAGAGCAGGTTTTTACAGTTGGTAGCTGAGTTTGGATTTCAGGGAGGCACTTGGGTTGTCTTGTCACTTTTCTTTTGGGGACTTTATTTTTGACTGATAGCCCACCTGGCAAGGTTATCTTGGCATCTTAAGTTACCCACTGGACATTTTTTTTTCTATCCTTGATGTTTAAAACTTTTATGCATACGTTTCCCACAGGTGTGTATGTGCCCAGTGCCTGCACCCAAATATAACTCCAGTTCCTGAGGATCTGATGCCCTCTTCTGGCCTCTGTGGACAATGCATTAATGTGGTGCACATACATACAGGCAAAACATATACATTAAAAATACACGTAAAAATGAAGGAAAAAGTTTTAGTTAGGGTAGATTACCAGCATTGAGGGCAGAGAGTTTCAAAGAACAGACTATGCAACAGAGATGGAGCCTGCAGAGGTGGCATTGGAGAAAACAGGACAGCAGAAACAAGACTGAGCACCGAGTTGGGCACCCAAACTCTAAAGGCTGTGGGCATACACACTTGGAGTAGAGAACAACAGGTAGCTGTGCATAGGATGCTGAGTGAGTTTTAGCTGAGTTCTCTGTCCTTTCTTCCAGATATTACACTCTGGGGCATGGAGCTGGGCCTGCTAAGCATGCGCAGAGGGGAACTGGCCAGGTTCCTATTCAAGCCAACCTATGCTTATGGCACCCTAGGGTGCCCACCCCTCATCCCTCCAAATGCCACTGTCCTGTTTGAGATTGAGCTGATTGACTTCCTGGATTCTGCTGAGTCAGACAAGTTTTGTGCACTCTCAGCTGTAAGTTCCAGACATTGGATTTTCCAGCACTTTCTGAAGGGTGGGATTAGATCATGTTTGGGTGGTGTTGTTAGATCACCTGCCCCAGGTTTCACCTGGCCTCCTGTACAGTGATGCCTTCTCTCTTCTGTTTGAAGTAGAGCATGCTAGGTAGTGTAAGGTATAGATTGGCTCCGTATTAGTGGTTTGCTATTTAGTTACCCTCTGCTTAGTTCTCACTACAAGATGGTGACTACTTTTCAGGAAGTTAGGCGCTGGTAGCTTAGTAATGATTGAGGCTTGAGGATGTGACTCAGTGATGGAGTTCTTGCCTAGAACCCCCCCCCCCCCCCCCACTAAGGAGTTGGGGCTTCGTAACTCAGCAGTAGAGTGACAATATTAACAAGCCCTAGGTTCCATCCCCAGGACCATAAAATCAAGTTAGAGAATTGGTCCCTCAAGAACTGAAACAGGCTTTTACTAACTTGACATGATAGCTGTGACATGAGGTCCAAGCTGAGACAATCTCAGAAAACTGGGAGATAGAGCCACAGTTCTCATAACCCAGGTCTTGGTGACCTTTCCCTCCGCAGCCCATAGAAGGAGAGTTTGTGATCCCATCAGCAGTCACATGCATCTTTATGATGCTTCCTCCATCGACTGCATACGGAGTAGTAGGTGTGTATTCATTGAAGGCTTTGATACTCTTAGGGTTTGACTGCTTTGAAGAGATCTCTTATAAAGGACATTTAATTTGGGCTGGCTTACAGTTTCAGCGGTTTAGTCCACTGGAAGCCTATGGGGGCCAGGGAGTGGAATGTGGTGGTTTGAATAGGTTTGACTCCCATAGGTTTGACTGCTTAGCCCAAAGGGAGTGGCATTATTAGGTGTGGCCTTGTTGGAGGAAGTGTGTCACTATGGGGGTAGGTCTTAAATGCTCAAGCTACACCTAGTAAAACAAATCCAGTCTCCTCCTTGCCACCTGCGGTTCAAGGTAGGATGTAATTCAAATTCATGTTCAAGAACTCTCAACTCCTTCCTCAGCACTATGTCTACCTGCATGCTGCCATCCTTCCCACCATGCTGAAACGGACTAATAAACCTCTAACTGTAAGCCAGCCCCAATTAAATGAGTTGCCTTGGTCATGATGTCTCTTCACAGCAGTGGCAACCCTAAGACACTTCATAATAATTTGGCCTTCCACACTAAACTGTCAGTGCCTCAAGTGATTATCTCACCCTTTCCACATCTTTCCACTAAGTAGACGTTCTTCATTCACCTGGGATTCTGATTTTGAGGCTCTGATATGAAGCCAGGGTTAACAGCATGAGCATGTAGAACCCCCAGAGCATTGAGCCATCCAAAACCTGCCAAATTATTGATGCATAATTGGTTTGGGCTGGGCAGGCTCCTTCAGTTTCTGTGGATGCTTCTGCTTCTGGGGAAACTGAGAAGGATCACTGCAGCCACTATCACCTGCACTGCTCTGTAGATGGATCGCTTACACACTTATAGCATCCACCTGTGTGGCCTCTGCACCCAAAAGGCAGTAAGCACAGCTCATGGTCCAAGAGGGAAATGTTGATGACTATAACATGCCTGCCATTATGCCCTTGGGGCTTCTGGCTCCATGTCACTGCTCTTGTTTTTCAGGAGCAGCAAGAACAGTTTCCACTTCAGAAGGTCCTCAAGGTAGCAGCAACTGAGAGGGAGTTTGGCAACTACCTTTTCCGCCAGAATCGTTTCTGTGATGCCAAAGTGAGATACAAAAGGGTAAGAATGCTCTTGTAAGTGTATGATCCAGAAAACTTCTATCTTTAAATTGTTTATGTGTATGACTGTATAGTCTGCATGTATGTCTGGCCCCACGTGCATGCCTGGTGACTTCTAGGCCAGTAGGGGACATCTGATCTCTGGGAATTGATCTCCAGAAGCTGAAGTTACATAAAGTTGTGAGCCACCATGTGTTGCTGAGTATGCAAGCTAGATCATCTGGAAGAGCAACTAGTGCTCTTAACCTCTGAGCCATCTCTCCAGCCCAGAAAACTTAGAGAATGAGCTTCATCTCTTTTGCTGCTCTTCATGGTCAGCCATGATAAAGATCATATTAAGCTGGGCCTGATGGTTTATGTTTGTAATCCTACCACCCAGGAGTCTGAGGAAGGAGGATTGCAAATTACAGGCCAGCTTGGGCTTCTTAGCTAGACCCTGTCTCAACAAACTGAAAAAAAGTACCTGGGGAGATAGCAGTGAGTAAGTGTGCTTACTTTATAAGCATGAGGATCTGAGTTCAAATCCCAGCACCCACATAAAATGCTGGGCATGGATGCTGCAAAGTTGTTTTTTTTTTTCTTCAGTTTTTCAAGACAGAGTTTCTCTGGGTAGTCTTGGCTGTTCTGGACTCACTTCGTAGACCAGGCTGGTCTCCAACTCACTCACATAGATTTACCTGCCTCTGCCTCCCTGGGATTACAGGCATGTGCCACTGTGTCTGGCTTGGAAAGATGATTAATAGTTAAGAATATTTGCTGTTCTTGCAGAGGACCCCAGTTTGATTCCCAGCATCCATATGGCTCACAGCTGCCTATAACTCCAGTTCCAGGGAATATGATACCTCTTTTGACCTCTATGAGTTCCTGTACCTACATGGGACACATCTGTTTATATAGGAATGCACACTTACACATAAAAGTTTATTTTAAGCCAGGTATGGACACATGTATGCTGCAACTCTAATATTGTGGGAGGCGGAGACAGGAAGATTGCTGATGCTTGCAGTCTAGCTCTAAGTTCAATGAGAGATGTTGTCTCAAAGAACAAGATAGAGCAGTGGTCCTCGACCTTCCTTATACTGTGACCCTTTAATACAGTCCCCCAACCATAAAATTATTTTTGTTGCTACATTATAACTGTGCTTTTTGCTACTGTTAGGAATTTTAATGTAAATATCTGTGTTTTCTTTTGGTCTTAGGTGACCCCCAGAGGGGTCTCAGTCTGCAGGTTGAGAGCCAATGAGGTAGAATGATACAGCAAGAACCTGACCTTGTCCTCTGGTCTCCTCATGTGCACACCAACCCACCCACATATGTACATAAGCGACACACACATTATATACAGAGAAAATCCTTAAGTTAAATGGAAATGACTAGGAGTAGAATAATGTTCCATATGTTGATCTTTTTTCCTTTTGTTTTTTAAGACATTGTCACTGTCTAGCCCAGGCTGGCCTCAGGCTCATAGCAAAGGGGATTATAGGCATGAGCTATAACCTCTGGCTCTATCTGTTGATTCTATTTGTGTGTCTGTTTGAGGCAGAGTCTCACTGTGTAGCTTTATCTAGCCAGAACTTGCTTTGTAGACCAGACTGTCCTTCAACTCAGAGATCCACCTGCCTCTGCTTCCTGAGTACTGGGATGAAAGGTGTGCACCATTATGTCTGCCTGTGTAACTCTTCATGCTGTGTTCCTGGATGTTTGAGTTATGAAAACACATTAAACTATGTACTTTTTCTTACCTATGTGCAGATGTATTTTAATCTGACATTTTAATAATTACCATCCTGGGGAGGTAAGAAAACAACTTGGTTGGTAGAGAGCTTGAAAGCAAGCACTATGATCTGAGTTTGATCATAAGAATTTATATTTAAGAAGAAAGAAAAAAGGACAGGTGTGGCAGTCAGTGCCTATTTGTAATTCCAGTGCTGAGAAATCAAAGACAGACATGTAACTCCAGTTCCAGGAAGATGTATGCCCTCTTCTGGCCTCCACAGGCATTGTACTCAATGCACACATCCTATCCCACACATATACATGTTTGTTTGTTTGTTTGTTTTATTTGGTTTTTCGAGACAGTTTCTCTGTGTAGCCCTGGCTATCCTGAAACTCACTCTGTAGACCGGGCTGGCCTCAAACTCAGAGATTTGCTTGCCTTTCTGCCTCCTGAACGCTGAGATTAAACGTGTGTTCCACTACCTTCTGGCACAGTTACATAATATAAAATAACGAAAATAAATCTTAAAAAGAAGCCTCCTATCTTTAATATATTAACCATGTGTCCTGTGAGCTAGCTGAGTTTCTTTCTTAGATCAGTAGTTCTGTGTGACTTGTAAGGATATAGGACTGTCCCTCCTGACCCTTTGCCTTCCCTCTTCTATGCAGGCCTTGCTGCTGCTCCATCGGCGCTTGGCAATCTGTGAGGAACAGCACTTGGTGGAACCTGCTGAGCTCCTAGTCCTCCTTAACCTTTCCTTTGTGTACCTGAAGCTAGACCGACCTGCCATGGCCCTACGCTATGGGGAGCAGGCTCTGCTCATTGACAAAAGGAATGCCAAGGCCCTCTTTAGGTGTGGACAGGTGAGTTGAAGGTAGTAGGAAGAGGGGCTGAGCAGTAACTCAGCGAGCAGTAACTCAGCCAGTAAAGTGCTTGCCAGGCATGCAAGCCTGAGAGCCTGAGCTCATTCTCTAGAACCCAGGGGCCTGGACCCTTGCTCTGGGGAGGCAGAGACAGACTGGAGAATTGGGGGATGATGAATTGGGGGAGCCCTGAGTCCCAGAGGCAGTCCTTATCTTGAAAAATAAGGAGGGCTGCTCCCAAGAAGGATGGTAGTTTGACAAACTGTTCTCCATCCATATGTGCACTCCCAACACAAATCAGTAGGTCTCACTGGGGCCACTACTACAAATGCCAATCTCCTAATCTAATGTCCTGTCCCTTCCTATCAGGCTTGCCTTCTCCTAACTGAGTACGAACAGGCCCGGGATTTTCTGGTGCGAGCTCAGAAGGAGCAGCCCTGTAACCATGACATCAATAATGAGCTGAAGAAGCTGTCCAGGTAAGGGTCAAGGGCAGGAGCATGACAAGAGGCACAATGAGAGGTGGCTGTGAGAATTCTAGTTCAATCTGGATAGAGGATAGGCTAGGAATGTTGCCCCAAGGTGGTTTGGAGACAGCCATTCTACCTGCACAGTCCATCTCCCATTGCCCTAAACTGGCTGTTTTGTGTGAGGAAGTTTCACTTCTGAGCATCTCCTTCCTGCAGATCAGCACTCCCCAGCGAGGAGTTGCCCATGCAGCTCCTTTGTGTATATTTGTAAGTGTGTGTGGAGGCCAGAAAACAACCTTGAGTATTGTGCCTGGGGCCCAGCAATTAGACTGGGCTGGTGGCTAGTCCCAGAAATCCTCCTGTTTCTGTTTTCCCCCATCCCTGGCCCCTACCCCTACCTACCCCAAACTGGAATTATAGACACACTGTACTCACTGGGCTTGTTTTTTTACATGGTGCTGAGGATCCAAACTTAGGTCCTCACTTTACCAACTGAGCTATTTCTGTAGTCCACCATGTACCATCGTGCTAACCAGGTATGGTGGTCTACTCTAATAGTCTTAGAACTTGGGATACTGAAGTAGGAAGATCACAAATGCTCAACCTGTGGTATAGAATAAGACAGTTTCAAAAACCAAAATTTGGTTGGCAAGATGGCTCAACAGCGGAGAGTACTTGACATTCTGATGCTTAGGAAGGAGAAAACTGGCCTGCAGATTGTCCTCTGGCCTCCATACATAGTGTACACAGGTACACAATAAATGTACAAAAAGCCTTTTTAGATCTCCCACAAGAAAGTAAGTCTTGAATCCCAGCACTCAAAAGGCAAAGGCAGGTGGATCTCTGAGCTCAAGGCTACTCTTGTCTATAGAGTGTGTTCCATGACAGCTAAGGCTGCACAAACCTTGCCTCTAAAAACCAAAATTAATTGTTAAAAAAAAAGGTTATACTTAACACCCTACCTATTTTTATGCAGTTTTCTGTCTTGGTGAGGTTTTTCTTCTTAACATTAAACATTCCATCTCTTTGCTGGGGTCTCTTAAGGTGTGCGTATCATTTTTATCTGGACGCAGTCTCTTTGCTCCTCATCTATTTGGGGTTCCCAGGAGCTTCCATTCTGTTATTCTCACAGGCTAGACCTGAATTTTGGGGGTTCTCACCATTCCTTAGGAAGAAACATCTCAAAATGAATGGGAGGTCACTCAGTGCAAGGGTCATTTGGCAAGACTAATGGTGGCTATGCCCTCCCAGCTGCTGTCTTTCCAAATGATAGCCTTGTGTCCAGGATCTTCCTTAGTGGCCTTAGCCTTGCCTGTCCCTGCATCTCACAGTGTTATGTCCATTGACTGCTGTCCATTGCTGACATTTCAGTGGCTGCTGCCAGATATATTCAGCCACCAGATGTCACCTTCTGCAAACCTACAAAGCTTGCCTTTCTCTCCACAGCCACTACAGGGCCTATGTGGACAGAGAGAAAGAGATGTGTCACCGGATGTTTGCCCCCCGTGGGAGCAGCTCCTCAGTGGGAGGAGACTGAAGGTACTTACAGGAATGGACACTCATGAAAGGATTCAGGGTTTCATCCATTGGGGAAGATGGTCCTCAGCCAGGCTTGGTGACTGCTGACTCTTTCCACTGAGGACAGCATAGGACAAAATATGCCGTTGGGGCCTTCCCACAGAGTGGGTCACTGAGGTGGAGGACTTGGAGTTACATTCATATTTGGGAGGTCCTGAGCTTTCTCATTCAAAGGACTTTTTTTCATGATTGGTAAAATTAAACTCTCAAATTTTCTTATAACTGAAGTCATTAGTTTTGACAGTTTAGCTGAGCTTGAAAGAGAAAAAACGAATTTCTTTGTTACTATGTTTTGGAGATGATTTACTAAGTAGTTGAGGATGACCCTGAACTTTTGATCCTCCTGCCTCTACCAACTGAGTGCTAAGATTATAGGCTTGTACCATTACCATCTGATTAATGTAGTACTGAGGATGGAACCCTGAGCCTTGTGTGTGCACTAGTGTATGCTAGGCAAGCACGCTACCAACTGAGCCACACTCCTAGCCTGTGGTGTTTGTGTTTTGTTTTGTTTTGTTTTAGGGGTATGTGTGGGTGTGTGTAGATATAGATGTCATGGTAGGATTAAGGCTGGTGGTGGTGATGCATATCTTTATTCTCAGCACTCAGGAGGCAGAAGCAGGTAGATATTTGTGAATTTGAGGCCAGTTTGGTCTACAGAGCGAGTTGGAGTTGTTGGACTGTTGGAGCTATAACAGAGAAACCCTGTCTCAAAAACAGAAACAAACAAAAAGAGTGGTAGGATTATAGAGATGCACCATTATGCCTGGCTTCAGGCTGTGTGTGTGTGTGTGTGTGTGTGTGTGTGTGTGTGTGTGTGTGTGT